AGACATCGTGTCTCGTTCCTAGTGAGTGACGAACTCCCCATGGACATGTTGTTAGGTATGTACTACCTCTCTATGGCGCAGCCCCAGTTTGACTGGGACTGAAAAGTGGTCAAACACACTTTGCCAGGTGGAGGGACCGCCAGATTGCGTAAGTTCAAAGCTAGTAGTCTGATTGAGTCCCACGGATGCATGTGTGCGGCCGAATTTTATAATTACTATAAGCAAAATCAGGAGGAGGGTATATACCTAGTTTATGTCACTGCTGGAGGCGAGCCGGTGAAAATGCCGCCGGAGATAGAGGGATTAGTTGCTAAGTACCCTGATCTATTTGAAGAGCCGACAAGGGTTGTTGAGAGGGACGTCGTCCACGCGATAGAGATTATCCCAGGGTCTAGCATCCCAAAGGGTAGGATCTATCGGATGTCTCCAGGCGAGCTCGATGAGCTTCGCCGGCCACTCAAGGAAATCGTAGAGAAGGGTTGGATCCGGCTGAGTGTCTCTCCTTATGGGTCTCCAGTACTATTCATACCTAAGAAAAAGGAGGGAACACTTAGGATGTGCATTGACAATAGGGGCCTCAATGCCATCACTGTTAAGAACAGAGAGCCCCTACCGTGCATCGACGATTTGCTAGATAGAGTGCAAGGGTGTCGGTACTTCAGTAAGATAGATCTGAAGTCTGGGTACCATGAGGATCAACACAAAACCGCCTTTCAGACCAGGTACGGTCTGTACGAGTTTGTGGTGATGCCTTTCGGTCTTTGCAATGCACAGCACGGTATGAATCGGATCTTTCATGACTACTTGGATAAGTTTGTCATCGGGTACCTCGATGACATACTTATTTTTAGTAAGACTGTCGAGGAGCACGTTGCACACTTGGACAAAGTCCTGAGTCTTCTGCGACAACACAAGTTCAAGATCAACGGTGAAAAGTGCGAGTTTGGCCGCACCCGTGTCTTGTATCTGGGTCATGAGATTTCCGCGGAGGGATTGAAGCCCGATGACGCGAAGGTGGCCAGCATTCGTGACTGGCCGCGCCCTCAGTCTGTGACTGAGATGAGATCTTTCTTAGGGATGACCGGCTACTATCGCAATTTCGTGAAGAACTATAGCATAGTTGCCGCCCCTTTGACTGATCTGACCCACCTTGACACCCCATGGGAGTGGACTGAATAGAGATGCAAGGCTTCTTTCAGACATCTGAAGCATGCGTTGACGCATTACGAGGTCTTGAAACTTCCTGATCCTGACAAGCCATTTATAGTAACTACGAATGCTAGCCAATATGGCATAGGCGTCGTACTTGCACAACAGGAGGGGAAAAAGTTGACGCCAGTTGAGTACATGTCCCAGAAAATGCCGTCTCAGAAGTTGGCTAAGTCCACCTATGAGAAGGAACTCTATGCGGTTTACAAGGCTCTGACCCATTGGAGGCACTACCTCCTTGGGAGGTTCTTCATCCTCAGGACCGATCATCAAACCCTGAGATGGATGAGAACTCCGCTGGTACTCTCTGACGCTCTCAAGCATTGGATCGAAGTCATTGAGCAGTATGACTTCGAGCCCCAGTACATCAAGGGCGAGTACAACAAGGTTGCTGACGCCTTGTCGCGTAGACCTGATTTCTCAGGTGCGCTGATTACTGAGTTCAATCTTGCGGAAAATGTTACTCAGTCTTTGGTGGAAGCCTATCGCGAGGACCCGTTTATGGCCGAGATCATACGCAGACTCGAGGCGAAGGACAAAGGGACTTCTGCCGAGTTTGAGTTGGTCAACGGCCTGCTGTTCCTTGAGAAGGCAGGGAATCAACGTTTGTGTGTGCCTAATAGGGAGTCTTTGCGTAGTTTATTTTTAGGGGAGTGTCATGATGCCACCGACCATTTTGGGTACAAGAAGACCACAGCTAACCTGCTGCAGCGGTTCTGGTGGCCCACAATGATGAGAGATGCCCAACTGTACGTGGAGACTTGTCAGGTCTGTCAGAGAGACAAGCCACGTACTCAGGCTCCTCTTGGGCTCATGAAGCCCCTTCCGATTCCGGAAAGGCATGGTGAGAGTTTGTCCATGGACTTCATGGATACGCTGGTTACCAGCAAGAGTGGGATGAGACACATTTTCGTCATTGTGGATAGATTTAGTAAGTATGCTAGATTAATAGCCATGCCGGAGACTGCGAAGACCGAGTACGTAATCAGATTGTTCAAAGAGAACTGGGTCAGGGATTTTGGATTGCCCAAATCCATAGTGAGCAACAGAGATGTCTGCTTCACTAGCGGATTGTGGAAGGCCGCTGCTGCAGAGCAGAGAACCCAGTTGCAGATGACTTCTGGGAATCACCTAGAGGCCAACGGTCAGGCTGAGCAACTGAATCACGTTGTACAACACCGATTGAGGCATTACATCAAGCCCAACCAGGTGGATTGGGATGAGAAGCTTGCTCTCATCGCCAGTCTGTACAACAACGCTGTACACAGCGCCACCGGCGTGAGCCCAAACAGTTTGCTATTGACTTTCAAGCCTAGACTACCCCTAGACTTCTCCTTCCTGAGAATCAGTCAACTGCTGCACCAGGTACTTTAGAGTTTGCCTACAGGTATGAACAGAAGATGCAGGCGGTAGAACAAATGCAGAAGGCACAGGCAGCAATGATAGAGTCTGAGAATAGACACCGCCGACCTTCTACGTTTCAGGTTGGGGACAGAGTCTGGGTAAAGTCCTCAGAACTGGGGATTTCCCGCAAACTCATGCCACGGTACTTTGGGCCATGGGAAGTCTTAGATATTGTCGGACTGAACCAGATGGGCCATCCTATGTAATCCGGCTCCCTGGTCATCTCCATACTTACCCTGTCTTTCACGCCTCCAAGCTTGCACCTTTCAAAGAAACAGATCAGTTTCCATCTCGTCGCTCAATGCTGCCCCCAACCATGGATGGAGAGGTGGATATCGATGATATCGTGGACCACAGAGAGCTGCGAGTTCCAAGACCAACAGGCAGGGGACGTCCTCTGAGGACCGCTGGTTCACCAGGGAGGAACTTATGCAGACCGCTCCTCAAGTTGTAGCCCATTACAAGAAATCTCTGCAGAAAGGAAAGCGCCCGATGGTCGAAGACTGAGCTTCTCAGAGGACTGTTGAAGCGAAGGAAGAGGGAATGTGAGGCCACTGCCTCTATGAGCCCCATTCAACCCCTTTTTGGAGCAAGTCGGCCGCCCTAGGTGAAGGCAGGCTCGATGAGGCCCTCAGGGCCGAAATTTTGACCACTGCGCAACTAAGGAAATTCAGCCAGCTGCGCAGCACCAGTTGGTTGAGAGAACCCAGGCCCTGGGCCGCCTGTGTGAATGTATGGAAAACAGGCCCTGGGCTGGATACGGGTACTGGGCCAAACACAGGCCAAAGGCAGTTGGGTGCATGCAACCACCTCAGGCCCAAGGCCTGTTCTCTATCGTGCTGGGCCTCAGGCTACCGGGGCCTACTGGAAGCTTCCTGGGACTGAACGCAGGCAGGCCACTTCGATATAGCAAAGGGCCTGCCTCCACATTGGGCATTCGGGTGCTGG